GTTAGATTAGATTTGCATTCAAATAAAAACTGATCTGTAAGATATAAATCAATTTATTTGACATCTGTTTTGGTTTGGTTTTTATATCGTGGCTATTTCATCGCCATTTATTAGCGAATCATTGTGACTCTATAGCTCACCGTTTTAGGTTCGCCAGCGAGGACTTTGACTAAAAATATCGATAAATTTGACTCCAGTCTCATATTCGGTGCCGTGGTTTAATAACTTACGTTGTGCTAATGTGTAAAACTCTTTCTTCCACGCAATCTTCTGTTATTTGAATCAACTTAACTGGGATGGGAGGGGAAAAAGAAAAAATACAAGTTGAGCACAGTTTATTCATGTTTTAATGATGCAAACCGAAAATTGCATCAAGAAAACGTTCTTGACCAGTTTACGGAGGTTGTTAAAGTTCAGTTTGTTTTATGATTGCTTAGATTTTGAAATATCTAGATAAGAATGAAAACTCAAGCGGCTAATTATGAGAAGCATACTCTTGAAATCTATTTCCTGAACCTTTCTATCCGATGGCAACACCTGTTATGACTGTGCGAGACTCAGTATCTTTATTCTCTTGCTCTGTCATACTGGGTTAGTTCAATGATTTAAATTACAAAATATTGCGTGAAAGACGTAGCCGAGTTTTACACATGACCAAAACACAAATTATAAAACTGCGGAACCACAGATGCGACAGGAGTCGTTAAAATGATATCATTAAACTAAAACGGTGAGCTTTAAACTCACGAACGATAACACTGCCGCGAAAAAAACCGCGACGCAATTCTGTCCTTTAAGCCCATGTCGCAATAGCACAATAGATGTCGAATGAATTAATACATATTCTTATTTTTATGCAAATGTTACTTAATGGACGAAAACAAGTGAACTTAACATGTACGGGATATTTATCTTGCGAAAGAAAACGAAAAAGTCTCCTGAAGTTATACCATGAGAAGTTAACTGGCGATAGAGCTATTTCCTGTTATCGCGACGATTTTGTTCAAGCTTTCACCGGCTGAAACGATTCTGGACTTATAAAAACACATTTACAGCTTTCTGAAAATCTAATTAAAAAGAGACGGCAATCAGTTTTTGATTAAGATTTTTGTTATGGGCAGAGCTTAAGAGGAATCCATCTAATTGGGTGGCGTCAAGCATCTCCGATTCACTTTTGTCCTGTATTGTTGCAGTACACATGTGTACTGAGGAGTAATTCCCTAGAGATGCTTTAACCACTCGCTATTAATGGTATCACATTTCCTTTGCTTTTAATTTTCTTCGTTTTCATACGAGATTGAATATCTGGTAGAGACAGTTGTTTCGAAAGACAGACTTGATTTGCATTGGGTTTCCAGTTCGACAAAGTAAACTTTTCCTTAGTTAGTTTTACAAACGTTACAAACATGGCCAGTAAAGAAGGCGACTCAGGAGATGTTCCCTCGGTGGCTGGTTCTTTGATTATGATCATCATCAACACCATTACTTGTCCATTCACAGTTCTGCTCAACGCGCTGGTGATAAAGGCCGTAAAAACGACGCCTGGACTCCGTACCAACAGCAACATCTTGCTGTCCTGTTTAGCGGTGACCGATGTATTAACTGGTCTCTTTAGCCAGCCATTCTTTATCCTGTGGCAGATTTTCCTAATACTCGGTCTCAGTAACAGTAAGACACTTCAGAAATGCTTTCAGGTATCTGTGATTGTATTGCAAACAGCTTCATACCTCCATCTGATGTTGGTTACTTTCGAGAGACTTGTAGCGATCAAATTTACGATGAAATATCCAAAAATTATAACTGGTGATAACATGAGGAGAGCAGTTTTATTAGTTTGGATCATTGCGTTCATCAATGGGGTTTTAAGAGGGATGGAAATGGTCAGAGTAGCAGGTTCTTTGGCAGGTCTTCTTACTCTAACATGTATCTTTTTCCTTGCTTTTGTTTACGTCATCATATATCGAGAAACACGTCGCCACCAAGAGAAGATAAAAAAACAACAACTGCCTCAAGAAGAAATGGAAAGATTTGCCAAAGAGAACAAGGCGCTGAAAACAACTTTGTTTGTTGTTGGTGCTGTTGTTATTTGCCTTCTCCCACTTTGTTTCTGTCTTATCGTTATAGCTACAGGCCTTTACAATGCAATTACTTGCCCGATCAACCAACCATTGGTGATAACATGTGCCATGTTAAACCCGCTTGTTAATCCACTGATCTACTGCTGGAGACAAAAGGAAATGAGAAAGGTCATTTTGGAATAAGAACCCAGGTCGTGCATTCAGAGATACAGTGAAGGAGGGAAATGTAAAGAAAAGAGTGAACAACTTGATAACTATATTTCTAGATTTTGCGTTGGCCTTTTTCATCCACTCTTAAACAACTCGCTGTTTGTTGTTCTATATGACAGCTAAGATTTTGATCACAAAAGGTAATTCAATAATCAACCTCGTGCAAGTTAGCAGCATCGTTTGAAATCGGCAATCAGTCAAAGTCCTTTCTTTCAAACGGTGCTGGTGCTTGTCACAAATCTGCTCCCGGAGCGTTCTAGAATACGTGGTAAATGTATGTAAGGAATCAGTCGTGTTGTAGTAGTTTTTGTTGTTTCCGGGGGTGACCGACTGTTTGGAAAGCTATACCGAGAGAGTTACTGTGATATACTTCAGAGATTTTGTTTCGGGGAGCTTTTTCGACAACTGTGAGTTTGTCTGTGGCGGGCTAAGTTATAGTCTGTAGTGGACTTAAGTGAGATTATTAAAGATAATTACTTTATTGCTTTTAGGAGTCGCTTCTTAATAAGAAACTTCCTCGTTGTTTGATAACATAGTTGAGTTTGTAGGATGTTAGCGTTCTTTCTGTCAGATAATCTATACCGTAACAATAGTGTCTGCGATGAAATGCAAATACAAATAAAAGCAATTCAAATAAAATAAAGGCTTGGGATCCGATTTTGAGAATTTGATTCTTATTCAGATAATTGTATAGTTATGATTTCATGAATTCAGGACATCAAATAGATTTTCAACGTGTTTTCTATAACCAAAACACCAGACTATCATATTAAGGAATAAAACTAAACAGAATGGCAATCAGAGGGAAGATAAGTTATTTTGGTTCTCTTGCATAATCATAACATAACTTACTTCGGATGGAGAAATTCAAAGAATAGATTTCAAGGGTATGTGTCCTACAGTTAGCCGACAAAATTTTCATAATTTAAAATGACGCCACCTAGATATTCCAAAAACTCTGAAAAAACTCTACATTCTCCTACTTTACTGGATGTCTACGCGCACGACCTGGGTTCTTATTCCAATACTAACCTTTCTCAGTTCTTTTTGTCTTCAGCAGTACTGAAATCATTGGATTAATAAGCGACTTAAGCATGATGCATCATGTTGCATCAATGGTACGTTGATGGGGAAAAAATCACAAAGGCCTCTTGCAGCGACAATAAGACAGAAATAAAGTGGAAGGCAGAGAAAACCAGCACCGGATACAAACATCTTCTCCTTTGGGCAGTCGCTGTGCTTTCAGTATCTTCTCTCGGCGGCGAACTGCCGCTAGATATATGATGAAGAACGCGATGAAGAAGGAGAATAGATGAAATGGCGAGAAGACAAAAGCTAAAACGAAAATGCTAAACGCCACCCAATAAGATGGATTTCCCTCAAGCTCTGCTCATAAATTAATCTTAATCCAAAAGTGACTTCCAGTTTCTTCCAGATATTGCCAAATGTGTTTTTAAAAGTCAAAATCGTTTCAGCCCTGATAGCTTGACCGCCTGTTCACTTACTTCATCACATAATTCTGGACTTTTTTCCTGCCATCTCTCGATAAATTTTTCGTGTTTCATGAGCTGAATAATTCTCTTTCGTTAGATTAGATTTGCATTCAAACAAAAGCTGAATCTGTAAGATATATATCAATTTATTTGACATCTGTCTTGGTTTAGTTTTTATATTGTGGCTACTTTAGCGCCATTTATTTGTGAATCATTGTGAAAATACAGTTTGAGCACAGTTCATTCATGTTTTGATGATGCAAACCGAAAATTGCATCGAGAAAACGTTCTTGATCAGTTTACGGAGGTTGTTAAAGTTCAGTTTGTTTTATGATTGCTGAGACTTTTGAATATCTAGATAAGAATGAAAACTCAGGCGGCTACTCATGACAAATGTATGCTCTTGAAATCTATTTCCTGAACCTCTCTATCCGATGGAAAGCCCTGTTATGTGCGAAACTCAATATTTTTATTCTCTTGCTCTGTCATACTGGGTTAGTTCAGTGATTTAAATTACAAAATATTGCGTGAAAGGAGTAGACGAGTTTTACACATGACCAAAACACAAATTATAAAACTACGGAACTACAGATGCGACAGGAGTCATTAAACTGATATTATTAAACTAAAACGATGAGCTTTAAACTCTCGAACGATAACACTGCCGAAAAAAAACTGCGACGCAATTCTGTCCTTTAAGTCCATGTCGCAATAGCACAATAGATGTCGAATGAAAATACATATTCTTCTTTTTATGCAAATATTAGTTAATGATCGAAAACTAGTGAACTTAACATGCACGGGATATTTATCTAAAGAAAGAAATCGAAAAAGTCTCCTGAAGTTGTACCACGAGAAGTTAACTGGCGACAGAGCTATTTCCTGTTATCGCGGCGATTTTGTTCAAGCTTTCACTGGCTGAAACGATTCTGGACTTATAAAAACACATTTACAGCTTTCTGAAAATCTAATTAAAAAGAGACCACAATCAGTTTTTGATTAAGATTTTTGTTATGGACAGAGCTTAAGAGGAATCCATCTAATTGGGTGGCGTCAAGCATCTCCGATTCACTTTTGTCCTGTATTGTTGCTGTACACATGTGTACTGAGGAGCAATTGCCAGGAGATGCTTTTACCACTCACTATGCCAGAGTGAGAGACGGGTTGGAAAAGCTGGTCCGAGGGTCAGACTTGAATTGCATTGAGATTTCAATTCGATATGGCAAACTTCTCCTTGGCTAGTTTTACAAACACCACAAACATAACCAGAAGAGAAGGCGACAGAGATGTCCCATCGATGGCTGATTCTCTAATCATAATCATCATCAACACCATCACTTTTCCCTTCACAGTTATTCTCAACTTACTTGTGATAAAGGCTGTAAAAACGACGCCTCGACTCCGTACCAACAACAACATATTGCTGGCCTGTTTAGCGGTGACTGACGCATTAACTGGTCTCCTTGGTCAGCCATTGTTTATCCTGTGGAGAATTTTCCTTATATTCAATCTTAGTAGCAGTAAGACGGTTGGAGCTTCTTTTATCTCGTTTCTACTTGTTATTCTTGTATCTTCCTACTTTCATCTGATGTTGGTTACTTTCGAGAGACTCATAGCCATCAAAGTTACAATGAAGTACTCAAACATTATAACTGAGAAGAACATGAAGATAGCAGTGATAGTAGTTTGGATCATTGCGTCCTCTTATGGGGTTTTAAGAATGGGAAAGGTCAATACAGCACGTTATTTGACAGGGCCAGTCGCCATTTCATGTATTCTCTTTCTTACTTTCGCTTACCTCATCATGTATCGAGAAACTGTTCGCCACAAAGAGAAGATAAAAACTCAACAACTGCCCCAAGAAGATGTGGAAAGATTTCTGAAAGAGAACAAAGCACTTAAAACAACTCTTTTTGTCGCTGGTGCTGTTCTTGTTTGCCTTCTTCCAGTTGGTTTCTTTTTTGTTGTTGCAGTTGCGGGCCTCCGTGATATTTTCCCCATAAACTTACCATTGATATTTACATGTGCCATGCTGAACTCGCTTGTTAATCCACTGATTTACTGCTGGAGACAAAAAGAAATGGAAAATGTCATTTTCGGAATGAGAACTCAGATCGTGCATTTAGACGTACAAAACCGATAAACGAAACTCGTTAGTTATTGTTTTGAGACTTGTACTATCTATCACCAGAAGTAAATCGATAATTAACCTCGTGCAAAATTGCCAACATCGGAGGAAATTGGAAATCAGTGCAAATTCTTTCTTTCAAACGGTGTTGGTGTTTGTCCCAATTTTGAACTAGACTTTGACTTTTATAACGCAGATTTCGAATGTCTTAAGAGGTGTCGGTTGTGCGATTTGATTGGCTTTTAGGAAACCATATAGTCGAGAGCATTTAATAAGAAAATCGTTCTCGAACTTTAGTAAAACTATAGAGAATCAGCTTCTTCTGAATCTATTTTTATTGTTGACAAAGCCGAATATCAAATTAATTATGCTGCTTAGAATTATTAGTGAGACTAAAGTGTCCAGCGACTGGTTTAGATGCGTCCTTGTCATTCCTTTCTACGTCGCGAAGGTGTTCTCGGAGTTGGTCACCAAGTCGTATTCCCGTTTCACCAATGTATAACTTTTTGCAAAAAGTGCAAGTTATGCAGTGTATGGTATTGGCGAAGGGGCAGGTGATACGTCCAGCGATCTTAATGGATTTCCTACGAAAGAAAAGAAAGGTTTTGCATTGTGAGCGAGCGCATTTGAAAGTTCCAGGTTGGTAATTAGTTTGAAATGAACTTCTGACCAAAAAGTTGCCTATGTTTTAATCGCGTTTGAATGAAATTAGTGGATGTTGCGAAAAGATAGTACCAGTCTATAATTCAAGAAGCAAGATTTCGCTGTTGGATCCGGCGGAGTCAAGGGGTCGTTTTCACAGCCTTTATTACTAGCACGTTGAGGAGAATTGTGAAGCGAAAAGTGATGCTGTTAATGATGATGGTGGTAATGTAACCAACCTCTAGAGGGACATAAGCTGTTTCGCCTTCTACACTAGCCATCTTGGTAGCGTTTGTAAATTAATCTCGGAGTAGTTATGCGCGTTAAATATCCACTGAAGATCACATGAACCTTTTAGTACCGTGCTGTCGTCCGGAGGCTTTTACAGAAGCGATCCACTTAACTGTGCAAATGCTTCCACTTGCCGTAATTCATGAGGTTGTTGATTTTGTCGGAAATCATAAAATGGAAAAAAAACTCAAAAAGATTTTTGTGAGAGAAAATCGCCTTCTATTCATTGAAATTAATTTACTAAAGATTGTGATCGTATTTTTTTTTCTTAGCTAGCTGGACACTTAAATAAGGTTCATTGTTTTCACATCTGTTGTTCCTTTTTGACAAGCTTCAAAATAAAAGAAGTAACTTTGAATTTTTAGGGGAATTATTTCTCGTTCACTACTCCATTTTATCTTTAGATCATACAGCTGGCATCTTTCATGCATAAATACATACATAGATACATATATCCTTTATTTTGTGAAGCAGGACTATTACATTACGTGATCAGTATATGGCAATTTTGGTAGATGATCTGTTTTCGTACAATATCTTTTTCGGATTTGTTTGCTTAGTTTCCCCGGCTACAAACCTCTGAATACCTGGATGCAAGACATGAATCCATTTTCTAAATAGAGGCTTTCTTATTTCTTTCTGCCTCAAGCAGTAAATCATGCTCATGGAATAACAAGCAAGTTTAACATGGAATATGAAAATATGAATACTAAATAATAGGAAAAATATTATAGAGGCCTGTGGCTAAAAAAAATGAGGCAGAAAAAACTGTAAGAAGAAAAAAAGATAACTGTACAAAAAATAAAATGAAAAATTGTCTTTAATGCCTTTTTTCTCTTTGGTAAGTCATTCCGCTTCTTCTTAGGACAATCGCTGTCCTTTTATTTTCCATATATGGCAGCGTTTCATGACGCAAAATCTCCTAAGAGAAGGCATGGAAACGATGTGTGAAATAACGACAAGGCCTGTTATAGAGCGTGATGCTGAATACATTTCCCCTCCCTGAAAAAGTTCTCTGTTTCTTTTATAAAATATTTCTCTCTCATAACTTTACAAATAAAGTAGCCGTTTTTCTTCTATTTCTTGATTGACATAGATTTTCTTAGTACATGCCCTGTGCGATAGCGCTCCCTACTAGCCAATCAAATGGCGTATCTAACAACATCTAAAACCATCAAATTTTCTTTGATAAATTAAAAGTCATGATGACATTTGAAATTTGGAGCAAGTGCCAGTACGGTGTGAATGAAACTATTTCGACTGATTGCCAATTTCCAAACATGTTAGTAATTTTGCATAAAATTAATTATCGATTCATGTCTTCTGATCAAAAATGTAATTGTCGTATAAAAAAAAAATGACCAAGGAATTTCATTTATCGGTGGATAGAAAAGGCCAAAGTAAAATCTAGATATATTTTCAAGATGTTCGCCCTTTTCATTATATTTCCCTCCTTCAATGAATGTCTACATGCACGACCTGAGTTCTTATTCCAATAATGTCCTTTCTCAGTTCCTTTTATCTCCAGCATGCAGTAAATCAGTCGATTGTCGAGCGGGTTTAGCATAGTATATTATGTTGCATCAATGGTAGGTTGATGGGGCAAATATCATAAAGGCCTCTTGCTGTAACAGTAAGACAGAACTAAAGTGGAAGAAGGCAAACGAAACCAGCACTGACTACAAAAAAAAGTTGTCTTAGGCGCCTTTTTGTAAATCTTTCCACTTCTTCTTAAGGAAGTTGCTGTGCTTTTATCTATTCTTTGTGGCGAACAGGTTTCTCGATACATGATGAGGTGAGCGAACATGAGGGGACGCAAATCATCTGTACTGTAAGTATCCCGGAGAGTCCCCTACATGTTCTTAGACTTTTAGTCTAAGAAAATGTATGGGTCGCATGCGACAGCTTTCCTGTAAGGTGTCATAATCCTGTTGCTGCTGACATCGATGTGACAGATAATTGCTTTTGCACTGTTTTCTTTGCCGGCTTATACTTGTCATCAAGTTTCAATAAGACGGCTATCATTTTTCACAAGAATAATGAAGTTTTCGTAAATTGTGATATGTACTTACAGTGCAGACGATTTGCGTCCACTCATGCAAGAAATAAAATACATAAAATAACGAGAAGAAAAAAGCTGAATCGGAAGTGCTAAACGCCACCCAATCTGATGGATTTCCCTCAAGCTCTACCCATAGATTGATGTTAATCCATAAGTGAAAGAAGTCAATTTTTGATCAGTTTTCTTCAGATATTGCCAAATGTATTTTTAAAAGTCGAAATCGCTTCGGCCCCTGATAGCTTGATCACGCTGTTCAATTACGTCATCACATAATGCAGGATTTTTTTTATTATCCATCTTCCGATAAATGTTTCGTGTTTCATTAGCTGACTAATTCTTTCTCGTTAGATTAGATTTGCATTCAAATAAAAACTGAATCTGTGACATATATTGCGTTGTGGTGGCGGCTACCTACTAGAAATGTACTCTTGAAATCTATTTCCTGAAACCTTTTATGGGAGACTCATTATATAATTTTATTATCTTGCTCTGTCATACTGGATTAGTTTAGTGATTTATCTGACGAAATACTGCATGGAAGAAGTAGCCGAGTTTTACACATTACCAAAACACAAATTATAAAATTACGGAACCACAGATGTGAAACGAGTCAATAAACTGATATTATTAAGCTAAAACGGTGAGGTTTAAACTCATGACAGATAACAATGCCAAGGAAAAAACTGCGACGCAATACTTTTCTTTAAGCCCATGGCGCAGTAGCACAATAGATGTCGAATGAATTAGTACATATTTCTCTTTTTATGTAAATATTAGGTGATAGACGAAAACTATTGAGCTTAACATGCGCGATATATTTGTCTTGCGAAAGAAAACGAAGAAGTCTCCACAAGTTGTAACATGAGAAGTTAGCAAGCAATAGAACTATTTCCAGTTATCGTGACAATTTCCTTCAAGCCTTTTACCGGCTAAAACGATTTTGGTCTTATAAAAACACATTAGAGCTTTCTGAAAATCTAATTAAAAAGAGACCGCAATCAGTTTTTGATTAGGATTTTCGTTTTGGACAGTGCTTAAGAGAAATCCATCCAATTGGGTGGCGTCAAGCATTTCCAATTCACTTTTGTCCTGTTTTGTTGCTGTACACATGTGGACTGAGGAGTAATTCCCAGGAGATACTTTGCTTTTAATTTTCTTCGTTTTCACTCGAGATTGAATGTCTGGTAGAGACAGTTGTTTCAAGAGACAGACTTGCTTTAATTTGCATTGGGGTTCCAGTTCGACAAAGTAAACTTTTCCTTGTTTAGTTATACAAACGTTACAAACATGGCCAGTAAAGAAGGCGAGTCAGGAGATGTTCCATCGGTGGCTGGTTCCATGATTATAATCATCATCAACACAATTACATGTCCCTTCATAGTTCTGCTCAACGTGCTGGTGATAAGGGCTGTAAAAGCGACGCCTGAACTCCGTACCAACAGCAACATCTTGCAGTCCTGTTTAGCGGTGACCGATGTATTAACTGGTCTCTTTTGCCAGCCATTCTTTATCCTGTGGCAGATTTTCCTACTACTCGGTCTCAGTAACGGTGAGATACTTCAGAAATGCTATCAGGTATCTGTGGTTGTATTGCAAACAGCTTCATACCTCCATCTAATGTTGGTCACTTTCGAGAGACTCGTGGCGATCAAATTTACGATGAAATACTCAAACATTATAACTGATAATAATATGAGAAGAGCAGTTTTGGTAGTTTGGATCATTTCGTTCATTAATGGGGTTTTAAGAGGGATGGAAATGGTCAAAGTAGCACTTTCTTTGGCAGGTCTTCTTACTCTATCCTGTATCCTTTTCCTTGCTTTTAGTTACTGCATCATGTATCGAGAAACACATCGCCACCAAGAGAAGATAAAAAAATTAACGACTGCCCCAAGAAGAAATGGAAAGATTTGCCAAAGAGAACAACTCGCTAGTTGTTCTTTTATATGACAATTACGATTTTGGTCACGAAAGGTAATTTGACAATCAACCTCGTGTAAGTTACCAACATCGTTGGAAA